GCTGGGAGCCGTGTTCCTCAGTGTCGTGCCGGTCATGGAGCCTGCTGAGAGCTCGATAACACACCACTGAGCCCCGTTATTGCTCCCATTCCCCACGAAGCCTGCTCGTCAATGCTTGGAGCGTGTGGGCAGGAGGGAAAGGCTCCGGGCTGCCTGCCTGAAGCCCTCGGCAGCCAGGCAGGTACATGCTGCAGGAGCCTCTGGCACGGCACGTATGGCATGGGATGTTTCCAGGGATGAGCTGGGAACCGAAAGGGCTCTGTTGGGCTGGAAGCACCCGGGAGGCAGTTCTGCCTTTTCAATGCTCCAGGTTACAAAATCCCTCCACTTCCCAGAGCCGGGGAGAAACTGGGGGACCCCCGTGGGCCAGCCACCCTGGGGGCCAGCAGCCAGGAAAAGGCATTCCAGGTGCACAGAGAGAGATCCACGAGGAAGCAAGTGAGGATGTGGTGGCAGCAGGGAAAATGCCAACAAGGAGCAAAGCGAGGCAAGAGGGGTGTGAGGGAAAGAAAGAGCTCTGCAATGCTGCACTCGACACAAGCCAATTCCAGTGCGGGGATGGCCACAGGGACCTGCAAGCAAAGCTGCAGGGTGACAGATGTCCCGGCGCGCTGGAGCTCCCAGTGAGAGCAGCCGAGGTGCTGTGCAGGGGCTCAGGCACTTCCCCACGAGCACGGTGGGAGAGGATGGCTCCTGCCTTCTCTGCATCAGAGCTGGGCTGCATCGCTCTGACACTGGACCCTGAGACATCCCGGCCTCTCAAGGGCTGCCAGGTCCTGACAGGTGACGAACGGGGCCTCATGTCCCTTGATGGCAGCAGAGCGCCGCTGGGTGAAACCCTGCACCGCTCGCACCATTGTTTTCCTGGAAACAGCGGACAACAATAGCCGGGCTGTGCAATGCTCACGCTGCCCATGAACCCCCGCCCGCAGGGGGATGAGGGCTCTCCCCTCCTCCTCCTCCTTCTCGTAGCTCGGCTCCACCACCCCCAGCCGTGACTCAAAGCTTCCTGGGGACACGTGGACCCCATATCCCGCACTTGATGGGCTGCTCGCTGCCTGGCTCTGTCCTCTGGATTTGTCCTTCACAGGGCCATTCTCTGCTCCTAGACACCTACACAGTTTTACCGGGAGCACACTGAGCCGGACAGGGACTTTCCTGTGTCCCCAAGGCATAGGGAAAGGGCTGCAGTCCCACCAGGAAAGGGGGCAAGGCAACGCTCAGCTTCCCTTGCACCCCATACATACGTCTGCCGCCTTCTTCTCTGCCAGCTCAAGCTTCTCCTGGGCATCTTTCAGGGCCTCAGAGTATTTGTCCAGTTCATCCTCTGTCCCCTTCAGCTTCTTCTGCATGGCAGCTAGCTCATCCTCCAGCTGGAAGGACAGCGGTGTCACCACAGGTGGACACCACTCTGAACCCCTGCACCCCAAGAGAGCCCTGCCTGCCCCATCCCAGGCGCAGCTCTGCCCCATGGCATTCCTCCTGCCCCTTCCTTGGGACCAGCTCTGCCCCACAGTGTCCACCCCATTCCCACATCCCACCAGCTGGCAGGGACTGAGCCCTCGAGAGCCCTCAGAGTGCCCTTGAGCTGTGGGATAGCAGCAGCTGTCGCACCCTCATACCCCAGGCAGAGTCTCTGTTGGTTCTGGGCTCAGCAGAGGCACAGCACCAGGCAGAAGAACCCAGCAGAGGCAGAAGCAACACCCCCGGGCTGGGGGCTGTGGCTGTCTGCCCTACCTGCTTGCTCCGCTCCTCCGCCTGCTTCTGCTCAGCCTCCGCCTGCTCTGCCCGGTCCAGGGCATTCTCCTTGTCCAGCTTCAGCATCTGCATCTTCTTCTTGATGGCCTCCATCCTTGCTGGGACACAGGCAGCGGTGGGCAGTAGGTTGCAGACAGACAATGGGTGGGTAGAGCAGCTGTGTTGCCTGTGCCCCACTACCCGTTTATCAGCTCTGCCCAGCACAGTGGCTTTGCCTTTCTTGGGCTGACCCGCCTCCCCACCGTCCCAAAAAGTCTGTGCTCAGGACCCATTGTGTGTCCTGGGGGCTCCTGGTGGTCACAGCCTTATTTGGGCTCCCGAGGACAGCTGGGTCGTTATAAAAAGCAGCAGCAGGTCTGCGAGAGGGGGTCCTGCATTGTTCCAGGTGCCCCCTCCCCCCGTGCAACAGGACACCCTGGTTGGTGCCCCGAGTGCTTCCTCAGGATGTTGAACTGGGTCCGTCCGTGCAGCACTGGCATGAAGTCCTCACCCTCCATTTGCCTTCCTGGGGGGGCTTAGGATGTTTTGGTGGCCCTGGGCTGACATTTACCCCTGCCCGGGGGTGGCATAGAAAAGGGCAAGATCATCCTGGCGCTATTCTGGGAGCTGGGGCTTGGCCGAGAGTGTTTGGCTCTGCAGGGAGCAGCAGGGGAAACTGCACCCAGCACTGGGGGCAGAGCCCCCCGAGAGCCTGCTGATCCCCAAGCCCAGCTCCGGCTGTGGTGGTGATGGTGCTGAGGTGGAGGATGTTGTTGGCAGCTGGAGGAGCAGATTCCCCAGGCACAGGGAGGAATTCTTAGGGCAAGTGGTGGCACTTCATCTGCAGCCAAGGGATTTGCAGCCTCCTTGTGTTGGCTCAGAGGTCCCACTGGCCCCATAAACCAGGTTAGGGTTTCCCATGGAAGAGATCCACTGCTCCCACCCAGGGACAGATGTTGAGGGCTAAAGGGGTCAGCACCCAGGGACCCGGGGGACAGAGAGCTGGGGCAGCTCCAGATACCCTGGGCAGGGCACTGGGGGAGACAGTGCCCACCAAGGGCCCTGAGAAATGTCTGCACCTCCATAAATAACCCCCCACCATGCCAGGGCGGTGGAGGCAGTGCTGGGCACAGGGCCACGGGCCTTTGTATTGTCATCACCCCTGGCATGAGCGGGGGGACAGGTGGCAAGCGTTGACCCCACTGCCATCCCAAACCTCCACCAACCCCCAGAACAGCTCTGGGCTCCCCCTCTCAATCCTGTGGAGATGGGCAGACAGGTTTTATTGCAGGAGTGAGGACTAGCAGAGGGTGCAGGACAGGGTGCAGAGGGTCCCCCTGCCTGAGACACAGCACAGGCAGCATCTGGCCAAGTCGGTGCTGGGCGTCCCTGGCGCTGTAAGAATATGTTTGATATTTAGTTGGTTTTCCAATAAAACAACCTAATATCAAACATATCAGACAGAGACAGGGGCAGATGGAGGTGGGAGGACCTGGAGCTCAGCTACCTGTAAGAGAAAAAGAAGACACTGAGAGCTAGGGTGGGAGTGGTATCCAGGTATAACCCCCGAGGCACTGCAGAGACAGCACCCAGCCTCACCTCAGTGACTGGAGCCTGCTGGGCAACTGTGCTGGTGCTGAGCTGCTCGGGATGCAGTGCTGGAGCAGGAGGCGTCCTGTGGCTGGGATGAAGCTGAAGCAGGGCAGTGCAGGCTTGGTCTCCTGGCATGGCATGTCAGGGCACACTGTGACATGCACCGGCACGGAGTAGTATGCCATGGCAGGCAGTGCTGGGGCCAAAGGGACCCCACATCCATCACCATCTTACCTGGGCTGGCTCAGGGGACTGTGTGCTCTGGCTTGGGGGTCGCCTGGCCGCCGTTTATAACCGCGCTCGGCTGCACCGAGCAGAGGGACGTGGCCAGCGGCAGCCCTGGCCCTGCACACGTGGCCTCGTTCCCATTAATTACCACCCATTGACGTCCCCCTGCCCCCTCCACGGACCCCCGCGCCCTTGCCGCCCAGCACCGCCGGTCGATGCGGTCGATGGCCCCACGCCTGCTCCTGCCCCTGGTGACACTCCCTGTCATTAGCAGGGCTGTCAATACCGGGGGCCAGCCCTGGCCCGTGGGCCCTGTGCCACCAAGGGGCTGCACATGACCCTGCCCAAGGACAAGCCCCACTGACACAGGGGAGTTGTGCCTTACATCCCCTTGCTTTGGGGGAGCTGCTGGAACTCAGAAGACTATCTCTTCCAAGGAGCAGCTGGAGGGGCTGCCCGGCACCCTGCTGCATCCATGTTGAAGATGTAGCCCCACCCATGCCAGGTGACAGAGGCAGGACCTCGACCCACACTGAGGGAGCTGCTGGGACCAGGGTAGTGGTGTCCAACGACAAGGGCACACAGGATATCATGGAGTGCTGGAAACACAGCCTTCCCAACCACAGCAGTGCTTTGCTGCAGTGGGACACATCAGCCTTGGGAATGGCACTGGGGGCTTTGTGGGGGCTCAAGCTTTGGGGGACCAATGGGACAGGACATGGGGCCACCAGAATCCTGAGTGCCATGGGAAAAACAGGGACACAGCCTCACCTTGGGGGTCAGGGGCTTCAGCCCCCTGAGGTGGCCACATGATGATGTGGCAGTGGGGACAGCAGGGACACACGTGGCAGCAGCAGTGCCAGAGCCAGGGGCGTGCGTGTGGCAGTGGGTGATGTGATGCAGCCCGACAGCCGAGCTAATGAAGGGCTGTGGCGGGGGGTGCCGGCCCAGCAGCCGCCAGCCCTGTCAATAAGCAGAGCCAGAGCAGGCACTGATGGGCCCTGGGGCTGGGAGACACCAAGGTCAGGCACAGGCAGAAGGGATGGGAGGTGGGGGACAGGGACCTCCCAGCCGGGGAGCAGACAGGGATCCTGGGGTGCCTGGATGGGACAGGGAGCACTGCACCCAGCCCAGCCACGTTCCTCTCCGTGCTGCTGCAGGACTGTGCCACATGGCCAGGAGCACTGTGGCACACGGCATGGCGCAGCAGGACCTGCGCTGGGACAGAGCCCCAGTGTGGAGCACCCAGCCTGGTGAGACATGCTGGCCGTGCTGCCATCTCCTGGCACAGCCATGGGCAAGAAGAAGTGTGTAGAATCCAGGGCACCCAGGGTTGCAGGCAACATGTCTGGATCCCAGCCACAGGAATTGTGCTGGGCTGTGTCTTCCCGCAACTGCTGCCCTGGGCTGTCCCATGCCTCACATGCAGCAGACACAGCCTGTCTTGCTCAACATGTTTTATTCTCAGTCAGGAGCTGGGTGATGCCAGGCCAGTGCCACACACTGGGCTGAGCACTCAGAGCCGCTCCACATAGAAGGCTTTCCCCTGCTGGCGCAGCTCCTGCTGGTGCTGTAGGTGCTCATCCAGGACGAGCTGGCACAGGGCATCTCGGCGGATCTGCCAGGTACAGGGGCTGTGCTGAACCCCCACATCCCCCTAGCTCATCAGAGCTGAGAGAAATTGTTCCCCAGGACGTAGTGGAGCAGGGCAAGGGGGGCACCCACCCCTGGCAGCAGAGGGCCTGGGGGACCCCAGCTGTACCCAACCCACGCCCAGCCTCACCGCTGCCTGCTCCCTGCCTCCAAGGTGCAGCTCCAGGTCTACACGCTTCTTGAGCTGTGACTCCATGATCCACTGCAGCACCCCAAGGGATGATGCCCAGCACTTTGGGTGCTCCCTGGCCCCCTGCCCACAGCTAGAGAGACACAAGGTGGGCAGGTCAGGGAAGCAGAGATGTTCCCCCCAGTCTGCCCTGTGCTAGGGCTCCTCATTGCCCACAGATTCCCAGCAGTACAGGGGATTCAGCTCCCAAGGTGCTCTGCCAGCTCTACCTCATCAGAAGCCTTGCCCCAGCACTCCCATTTGCCTGGACCTGCAAACAAAGAGCAACATTCACGTGGCACTGGGCTTAGCCTGCGCCAGGGCACACTGCAGCCCACTGTCTCCACCTGCTCCCAGGACAGCTTCCATCTTCCCAGCCCTGCCCCATCTGACCTCCTCCCGCTGCAGTGAGGAGCTCTGGCTGTTTGGTGCTGCCATGGCCAGTGCCAGTGACCCTGCAACGGCCCCTGCAAGGGCCAGGGTGCTAATGGAACACGCGGGCAGTAACGGCATCCTGGTTACAGTAACAGCCTCCCGGTTACTGTTATGGTTACCATCACTGGATGCCACCTACTGTCTGGGGCATCTCAGTCACGACAGCAGTAACGGCAGCATGCTGGCCACCATTAATGGCATCCCGGTTACTTCGTAGCAGCTTCAGGAGGGATGCAGCCTGGGATTGGGTAGGGACAGGGCCCTGCAGTCAGAGGCCACTGGCACGCATCCTACTTGAACTAAACTGTCATTTTATTAAACAGTAATTAAAAAGTGCCGAGGTCTGTACCCTCCACCCTGTGTTGCCCACGCCGCAGTGACGGGTGAGATGCCAGCGCTGCCCTCAGCCTGACAGAACGCAGGCTCAAGGTGGGGCCACGAGCTCTCAGCCCCAGCAGCTCGGCAGACGCTGGCACGCGAGGCGCTGGTGAGAGTGGGAGCAAACACCCCCTTGGCAGAACAGATGGGACATTTAACACTGCTTTGTCCACTTGAGACGTCCCCAAATGCCCACTTGCAGGAGAATGAGTAGAAACCTCAGCCCAAAGCAGTAGCTAAGAACAGGCACCAGACTGTTTCTACCCCATCCAGGTGCACAGGCAGGCTGGGCACAGAGGGCTGAGAGCAGGAACAATGACATCATGGGGAAAAGTGTTCACCCTTCAGAAAAAAACAGACAAGTGGCTCCAGTGCCCAAGACCACCACAGGACGGACAAACATCAGTTCCCGCCAGCTGCCGCAGGGAAGGATGGGTGGAGGGGAGCACTGGCTGGGATCCATGTCTTTATAAATAAGCTCAAGCTCATGAGTTTATTCACAGGGTCCAAGACATTGCAGGACTCAAAGCCTGGAGTTTGATAAGCCTGTGGCAGAGAAGGCTATGGGGCTGATCCCCATGGGCTCAGCAGCTCCAGAATGGGCTCCTGGTGAGAGCCAAACTCCAGCAGCTGGAAGGGAGCCCCCGCCGAGTGATGACTTCCACAGTGGGGTGAGGAGGAGATCTGAGTGCAGCTGGTTCCTCTCAGTGCTGCAGCCCAGACCAGCCCAGCATACCCCCACTGCACCAGGCCCCTGCACACTCACAGGGTGCTCTCCAGTGTGTTGTAGTTGTCCTTGAAACTCTTCAGCTCCAGGAAGTGTTTGGCACGTTTGCTCTTCTGGCTGGAAGGAAGGTAGGTGACCTGGATGGTGGTGGGGTTGGAGACTTCAGGGGACAGCGTGAGGTCTTTGACTGCTGACTGGTGCTGCCGCTGGCTGCTGCCACCCCGGGCCTTGGTGCTGTGGGCAGAGAAGAGGCACCATCACTGCTGCTGCTGCCCCAGAGGAGCTGCTCAGCCTGTGTGTCTGTCTGACATGAAGCAAACCTGCTTTCATGGTGACAGCACTCCCTGAGGTCTCGACATCTAAAGCTACTGGTTCTGTGCAATTCCCTGACTCAGAGTGGTCAGGGACAAGGAGGAATGTCGACTGTGACCATGGAACAAACCCAAAACTGCAGTAACAGATGGGCTGCAAGGAAGGAGTGAACCCCGAGGGGCAGCCCGTCTTAGATGACACCTGTGCCCTAAACCCATCTCTGTTCACACCTTCCCACAGGCTGCTGGGGCCCAGGAACCCACCATCGCATCTGGGCAGCAGCACTTACATGTTTGCCAGTTCATTCAGAGCTTCCTCATACTTTAGATATTCCGTTTTCCCAAAGACCTGGATACAAACAGAAAGGAGCATGGAACACCAACTGGAGTTCTGGTGTGGCCTCAGTCCCTGCAGCAGGGCAGTGCACAGGAACGCCCCGTGGGCACGGCAGTGCCCCACCAGCACTCACCCCAGTGCCATAGCGGGCGCTCTCGTAGCCATCCAGCAAGGTGTCAATCAAGGCTTTGCGGATGCCTTTGAAGGAGGTGCTGGAATTCCGCAGTTCCAGCAAGTAGGCACAGAAGTTCTTCCCTATTAAAGACTTTGGGTACCGACCCTCGGCTTGGAATGGGATTTCTGGAAAAAGGCACAACAGCTGAAGTGGAGGTAAAAAATGCTTGTGCTCATCCCTATGGCCAGGAACCACTGGCTGGATAAATTTCCATCCATGCCCACTGGCCCAGCACATGGAACGAGCCAACCCTCAGGCCACCAGTAGGAGAAGTGACTGCTACTCCCCAGTGAGCACCTGGAGCCTCCCCAGGGGGCTTTTGGCACACTCATTCAGGGTCTCTCTGCACCCTTCTGCTCCCACTCTTGCCCTGGGCTCCCTTACCTGATGTCCTGATTGCATCCAGCGCCTTCATCCTGTACAGGTAGTTATAGCAGCCTGGTAAAGGGAAAGCACAAACTGACATCTCTGCAAACCTTGGAGGGAAGGGAGGACAGGGAAAACGGGAGAAGAGACATCTCACATGACAGGACAGCAACAGGAGCAGTCAGAGGTGTGACCTGGCCCCAGGGAACAGTGCAGGACAGTACCTCTGGCACGGTACCTGGTGTCTCCAGCTGCAGGAGCCGGCCGTCGTCCTCTGCCAGCAGCTGTGGCTCATACTTGATGTCCTGCACCCTCGAGAGTCGAATGTCAATCTCTTCCTTTAAATCCTGTACAGCAGGAAGAAAACATTTGCAGACCGCTCACTTTGTTTGTGGGCTCAAAAGGATAGGAACAGGCCTAGATAAACCCTCCCCACTGCCTATCACCACTCAGAGGCAGCAGCTCTGGCACTGGGGCAGCTCCTGCATGTCCCTTCAGGCACAGGTGGGCCCGTGGGTGTAGAGAAGGAAGAATACCCACCTTGGGTGCGTGCTGTCCCACGGGCACGTGTGGGCCACGGCGGGACTTCATGGCAAAGCGCATGATCTGGCGTTTCACGAAGATGAACAGCAGCACGAAGACCTGTGGGGCACAGCGGGGAGGGGGTCAGACATGCACCGGGGGGAGGTCTCACAGCCAGCCTGTGACCAGCCCCCTGCCATCTCCCACCTGCCAGCCCCTCCGAGCCCTGCTTAGCCCACTGTGAGCCCCACGGACACTCAGGTCAGCCCCACACCCTCCCGATGTCTCCAGAGGCTGCCACTCCCGTCCTCTCCCCACCCCACTGACCCCAGGAGCCCACGGGCGCTCCAGCCCCATGAGGGCCCCGAGCCCGACTCCGAGGGGTTCCGCACAGCCAGTCCGGGACACGTCTCACGGGAGCCTTATCGACTCCTCGGGCCCGCGCCCACAGGAGTTTCACGGACGCGCCAGCATCAGCCTCGCGGGGGCTGCACGGCCTCGCACGATCCGGCTCGCAGGACACGCCCGGACACGCCAGCCCGCCCCGCCCCGCCGGCCCTCACCAGGCTGCCGTAAGCCATGACCAGCACCACGTTGACCCCCGAGAGCCAGTTGCTGCCGGCCCCCGCCATGCCCGGCCCGGCCCGGGGCCGCACAACATGGCGGCCACAAAGCCGCCCTGCGCGCCACCACGTGACCGGAGGAGCCCGGGCCACGTGACCCGTGCGGGCCCGCCGCAGCGGCCCCGCGCGCGTCACGTGCTCGGCGCGGGCGGCCCCGCCCCGCGCGGTCACGTGCCGGGGGCGGGGCCGGGGGAGTTGTCAGTGCGGGCGGACCCAGGTAAAGTTGCGGCGGCGGCGGCGGCGGCTCCGGTACCGCGCGGCCCCCGAACCCGCCCCCGCCGCCTCCCGCCGCCGCCCCCTGCCTGCCCAGCCTCGCCGCCTGCCGCCCTCCCGGCCCGGCTGCGCCCGGTGCCCCGGGGGCGGCTCTGAGCCGCGCCGCCGCCGCCGCTGGGCCCCGCGCGGCCTAGTGGGCCGGGCCGTAGCCGGGGGCTGGCGTAGCGCGCGGCCGCCGCAGGTGAGGCGGGCGGGCGGGCCGGGCGCGGGTGGGGGGGGTGAAATGGCGGCCGCGGCCATGAGGGCGGAAGCGGCCCTCACTCGCCCGCCTCTCCGTTGCGGGCCCGGCCTGGCGCCGCCGTGGGGGCTCCCGCCCGGCCCCGCCGGCGCCCTCCGGTTCGGTCCGGTTCATCGCCTCATTGTGTGCCGCGGACCGGGCCGCGGGGTCGGGCGGCTCCGACCTTTCCGCGCTCTCGGGGCCCGCCCGTCCCCGCCGCTGCCGGCGGTAACAATGGGAGCCGTGCTCCCGCCCTGCCGGGCTCCGTGCGGGCCGCCAGGCCCCGCTGCTGCCGCCGCTCCTCGGGGGCGCCCCGTGCGCCCTGGCAGCGGTGGTTCCGCAGCCCACGTGAAATCCCCGGGCAGCAGCGGTTCGGGGGTCCTGGAGGAGCCCCGGCCCGCGAGTGCCGCCCTGCTCCACGGCCCTTCAGCCCGGTCTGGGAGCTCTGGTTGCGCCCTCCGGCCCGGAAGTCTCCCGAGCAAAGCGCTGCCGGTCGATGCCAAGTCGGGGTCTCTGATGGCATATCCGGGAGCATCTCCCCAAAAGCTCATGCTTTGCATACATGGAATGATTCGGTTTTCGACCACCATATCTGCTCTGAGGAAAACCTCTTGTATCGATAACCCTCTTTTGGGTACTCATTCTGCCCCATGTTGCAGGAAAGGCTTTGATTTCTCTGGCCCTTT